ATTACAATGGACAGTCTTTCTGTGTAGTTAAGAGTTACAGTCTTTGTTGATCTTCGACACATGCTTTCCGAAGTCAATATAAATCATTATCAGCCTCAATTGTCTTCCCCTTCCTCCTTTCTTTCCATTGCCCCAGAAATACAAAAAGAGAAAGGTGTAAGGGTATTGGGCAGAATTCCAGTGTAAAGCCATGAAATTTGTGCATTGCCAAGGAGTGCATGGGACACAGCCCAAAAGCATTTGCCTTTACAGGAATGGCAACCAGCCTTTGGATCATGCGTCTCTTCAAGACTAGGACAAGAGTAAGAGTCGCCAGTGCACTCATTAGAAGCAAAGTTGTTTAAAACTGGCGGTCTCACATGGCTGAAAATGAGCTGGAAGAGCGCTGAGCTGGGATTACTCATGTGCTAGTGGTGAGGAGGATATAAAGTAATAATGACCTTAAGTGACATTTAATCTAAGTTGGATTTAGGGCCCACACAAAAATATTCCTGTTTCTAACACTATGTCAAGCACATAAAAAGTACACTAGACAACAGACCTTTCTGTCACCCTTTCTTTTTAACAGCAATGCAGCATCATAGCCCTGCTTTTGTTGCTCTTCTTACCATCACAGTTACAAAACTGAGTTTGAGGTATTTAACTCATGATTTAAGACAAGTGCAAAAGAGCCTACTTACTCTTACAGTTTTAAATATGTATATATAACACACGTTGCCAAGACTTTAAGAAACTGTAGTATTTTGGTTGGGTGCTTTGTTCTTCAGAAACACTTGCTAAAAAAATGTGACGGCGCGACTTAGTGTTATTTTTGGACACTACCAAAATTGCCAACTGTTGCTATTAATTGGAAATAATACATTTAATTTTTAGAAGGAAGCAATAATAGAAAACATACGTGGCTCTTCAGCTCTGGTTGTCTGATCTTTTTCTGCTCTTAAATAAATCAAACCCTCTTGTGATTTCCACTTGTAATATTAGATCTTTAAATGCCTGGCTTACACTCTAGCAAAACTATTAATGGCTGCCAACTTGGAGACAAACAACTTTATACCAGACCTCTATAAGTTGCTAGAAAAATTAGCTTGTCTCATTTTTAACAGTCCTACTTTTTAATGTGGTATTTTACCAAATTACTACCACTTTTGCTGGTTACATGACAATAATAGGAAAAAATAAAGTAACATTTTAAAATTCAGAGTTTAGGACTGCCATTTTCATATTTACAAGGAAGAGAAGGTTAAAATGACACTTTGTTTTGTTTGGATAACCAATTGCAAGGAATTCTAGATAAGACACAACTACTGCTTACCAGACTTTTAAACTGTGCTTCTCCTGGAAGCAAAAAAAAAAAAAAAAAAAAAAAATTCAGATCTTTTTAGTGTTATTCTGGAATTATGGGGATTAAATGATGGACTTTGCTTTCATTACTGATTAGTAAGTGCTAATGGCTCATTGAGCTTTAGCCTGATATAAAAAATTACAAACCTAATGAATTATGTTTCTCAGCTTTTATTAGCCTGGTTCCTGATTTTAAAATATTTAGATTTTAAAATATATTTTTAAATGGGTAAAATTCCAGAGCCAATAAACAGAAATTATGCCACTGGTTGAATGTATTGTTTCACGGAGGATCCCCACATAGCTTCGGGGGAGACTCTGCACAAGTGAGACTGCAATGTCAGAGCACCAGGTAAGAACAAGAACGCCCTTGGCTGGCATTTATAAATTTAGACAATTGTATATACAAACTCTCTTTTTGTATTAAATTTCTCAGCATTCAACGCACCATTAAGGTCCTGTTGACATCACCATAATAACTCTCACTGACATGCTTTTCTGAATAGAGCTAATTTATTGAACCGTGGCCTTTGTAAAACTATCACTTAATAGCAAAAATTTTGGCTTTAATGATTCTCTTCAATTCAAAGCTAATAAAGCTTACTTCAGCCTTATAAAGTTGCTTATAAATTTGCTTTCACCTTTGAATACTTTTAAAAAGATTAGGAAAAATGCCAGCAGTTTTATATGTTAGGAGTCACATTTATATTGACATTCAGCACTGTTTTACCACATTTTCTTTTACGACACTTGGGATGAACATGTAAGGACAAAAACACTGTTTTTTTTGTTTTTTTTTTTTAAATTAATGCAAGTTTTGGATAGCTTTTTAAAGCACCTTATATGAAGCACAATTAGTGAACGCTAACTATTTTCATGAGCACTGCACACTGTTAGGGCTGCAGGCCAAACGACCAGGCCCGACCTGAGGTTAAACTAACAGGACATGAACAGGACATGACATGAGAAATTGCCGGACACAACAGATTCCAGTGAGAGAAAGCTGACAACAGTTACAGGAGGGACAGCGGGATTTCCCTTGATAAGGGATACAAATCATGCAGCTGGTGCCACCTGAGGGAACCTGCTGGGCAGCTCTGTGCTTTACCACCACAGCCTAAAATCAGCGCTGTACACCAAACCGGTGGCCGTGACCACACCATGAGTCCAACCTGCTTCTGCAGTCAGGAGGGTTAAGGGGAGCAGAGTGCTTTCCCGAACCGGGGAAGAGCCAGACGATGGATCGAGCACCGTGGTTTCGTCTTGTCAGTAGCCATTCCAAGCCTGACAGCATCCACATCGACCCACCGCTTCCTCCACGTTCTCAACAATGTGTTTTTTTTTTTTCCCCTAAATAACAATTTAGCAGAATCTAAACAAAGTACTCTGCTCTAGGAAATAGTCTTTAGACAATATAACCAAAAGAGGAAATCTAAGTAAATACAAGATTTACGCCTAATGTCTTCATAAACAAAGCAAGAACTTCCCATCTAAGATGCATGCTGGAACAGATCCTGAGTTTCTCCCTAAATAATATGCCCCTTCAGGACTTAGCAACTTGGGGGGGGGGGTGAAGCAGTTACTGAAATGTAATTACCATACCATTAAGCATTTACATGACACTTATATACACATTACCACAAAAGCAAAATAATTTTTTTAACCAACAGCTACAATCACTGTCAAGTCTGTCTACATATTTTTATCTATTCTATTCTACTATAACTTCAAAATACAGGCTAGGTTTCCTAACTGAACACAGTTCAAAATATCTTCAGAGACTTTATTCTGCCAAAGAAGATGGCCAACACCTGCACACATGAACAGAAGACACTATGTAACTTACAGCATCTAATTGGAATAAAACCTCATCAGTACCTGTGACTTTTTAATTTTGTAACCGATTTTTTAAAAATTAGTCCTCTGGCAAAGTTACTGTACAGGACAGATAAACACAACTTCTGCACTTTTGAAATATAAGGGTTGTACAGCGGTCGGTCATTCAGCCTATCTAGGTGTTCCTGATGAGCGGAGACTCACCGACACCGCACATTGTTTTCCAACAGTAAAGCTATCAAGCACAGAGCTAAAAAAGGTAAGCATGGGTAGCGTAAACGGTTACTCAGCTACTGGCAGGGAGTCAAACAGCAGGCTGTGCCTACTGTTAATGCACAGACAAGGAACACTCCTTTGCAAGAGCACACACATCAAATGCATCAAAACTCAGTTTTTCCTACAAGTATAAAAGCATACTTTCACAAAGAAAGCACCTACCCAAACTGTATTTTTGGAAGAAACAGTTATAAGAATTAGGAACTTATCCACTTCCTATTGACAAGGATGGTCAAATATACAGAACTACTTCTACACAGACTTGAAAAAAAACAACCGAGGAGAAAAGACAGACGTTAATAACATCGTGAGCAACACGAGTAGCAAGCAACTGTTCACAAATACAATTAGCGTAAGGCAGGCTCGAAACCAAAAAGGTTCTCCACACAATGCATAGTTAATCTGTGGAATTCCTTGTCAAAGGATACCGTGGATGCTAAAAGTTTACAGGGGTTCAAACAGCAACAGATTTTTTCCTCAAGTTTGTCCATTGAGGGCTATTAAATACGAAGATATCAACACTGGCACAGGAAACTCTGAGCAACAAGTCGCTAGAGAACAGAACGATATCCTGAGGAATAATATTACAAATGCACCATTGTTGTCTTCCATTATTGGCCACTGGGCTAAATGGATCTTTTGTCTGATTTATGTTCCAGTTCAGACCTTTTGCTTTTGCTCTAGGCTATCCAATTTTCCACAAACTTAATACATATACATAAATAGATGCCCTTCAGGCACCAGTACTTCTAGTGTATCCAGTCTCTCAACCTTATTAAATTCAAGCTACTGTCCTTAGTGCATTTAATATCCCTACAATATATTAGCAATTATGTTGTACTGCACACCCATGTTCAGAAGTCACCATCAGTTTCTAGAGAGGTACTTAACCCTCTTCTCCATCACAGTTGGTCAATTCCAAACCTCAAAATGGGTTTGACAGGTCCTGCCATATTGCTTGAACAGCTAAAAGTCACAGGAGCTGGATCACAGCTATCCACAAAATGCACTGTATTATCTTCTCAGCTTTTTCTATTAGCTACTTGAAAACAAATGTGAAGATATTCGAGCAGTTAATGAAAAGCAATTACATTTTTCATGTCCAAGGTCCGCAAGTATTCTTCAAGCACATTACTGCAAAATACTCTTGCAAAAGTCATCTCCATTTGTATTGCTATATTTTGTCTCTTATACTTCTAATTTTTTCTTTTCTCTTTGACAAAACACAGTCTTTCCATCAGAGCTGATAGAGCAAATACTTCAAAAAAGGAAGAAAAGTTAGTCAGACAATTCCTACACTGCAAGGAAGCAAGATAATTTTCTGCTAGTCTGCAAGTAATTTCCCTGTACTGTTGATACCTTCATCAGTGACACTAATACTAACAGGGCCCAATGTCTACTGCTTCTAAAATTGTATCATCTAGATCTACTTTTGGCATCTTTTGTATACTTGCAATGCTGGGTGACTTTGTGTAAGTGGAACTATATTAACAGGAATGCAACATTAGTAGCAGAAAAGAAAAAAATTTAACATAGACGTAGTTTTATTTAGGTTCAGAAGCAAATAATACAGGTAAGTGCCCCAAACTACTTCAGGCCATTTTTAATCATTTATTTTGAATATCTATTAATGAAACTGTTCTAAATTGCACCCCTTCCATTAACTATTTCTACCATGATCCATAACTCTTCATTTATTTAAAGGTAAAATTAAAGAAGTAGAGATTATGTAATCATTTTAAAACATGCAAAACACTTGTATAAAAATTTCTTCAATTTTTATTTTTAGTGATATTACTACCTTCTTTGTCAGACAAATGTTTACACACTCCTGCAGAATTAAAAATATTTTAAGACAGATCTTCTCAAACAATTAAGTCTACTCTAAACCTCTGCAATAATATTTTTCTTATATTATAAATACCGCCATAATTATGATGACTTTTTGTAGCCATCTTCAGCACTTCCAGTATGTTTGAGTGACAGCATAATACAAAATAAACAGCTCCAAAAGCATCAATTTTATACTTAAACTTAAGAGTTCCAGGAGCAGTTTTTCAATGAGTTTAAATAAAAAAAAAAAAAAGAAAAAGAAAAAGGTGTTTGTTGGGGCACAAGGAAAGAGTTATCATGACTCTAGTTACTTCAAAAATTGCCACAAGAATTAAGCAACTTTTCAGGAAAATTTTGGTTTGTAGGAACCAGAGCATGCTGTAACAATTTTAATAGACGTTGCTAGTTAGAAAAGCACAGACTAAAGTAAAGTCTCTTACTAAAGTAAAAAATAAAAGTTCAGTTATTTGACTTTCTGCTTCTTCCTTGCCTGAAATTGTTCGGTTTTATTTTTGACAGATTTTATTAGCATGGATAAGGCAGGATCTATGGATTTCTTCTCCTTTCTCTCCATCTTTGCCACCTCCACCTCTCCCATCTTTTCCATCTTGTTCTCCAGTCCTTTGCTCGCCTCCTGAAGATCTTGCTGCTTTTGTTCTCTTCGGCGAGCTTTCTCTTCCAAGATCTTTTCTACTGCTTTTGTCTTCTTGAAATTTGGATCTGAAGGATCCAAATTAAATAGGGGGGAAGTAAACATGGCTTGGAATCTTGTATCGGCAACATTCACCTGAAGGCAGACAAAGAGATAACCTTATTTTAGGTAATCTTTACCCAACATAGTAAAGCTTTTAAATACAATACGACATGAACTGTAATCAAGTAAAAAAGACAAACGTTAAGCGAAAGACAATGCTTAATTCTGACTTTTACATAAACATGCTGAATTCTTGAGCTGATTTGGCCTGATGCACAACAGAAGCATGGCCAAAGTATCAGTTATGTCAACTTCAGAAGCCGAGCTGCTTAACGGAAACGGAAGTCCATGAAATTGTTCACCCTTACTGAAATAGCTCCAGTCACAAGTCTGATGAGTGCAGCACATAAATGTTTGTGCAAGTCTTGTGTGTGCCTCAACTGGCAAACCAAGGAGAGGTTTGTTGTTGGAGAACAACAGGCCAGTAGGGAAGCAGCAGCGGATCCCAATCAGAGCAAAGGTACCAATGAGCATTTCAGGCAATGAGTCGTTCAAGGGCTTGCATAAATATTGTCTTGTCACTTTACAGAGACTGACTCTGCCCACCTCCTTCAACCTTGTTATCAGACTATTTCTTTCCTCTGAAAACAGCCTGGAACTCCCTAAAAAGACAGATCGAATGTTCTTCTCCTTCAGCTAGACTAAAGGAGGAGAATGATATGAAACCCCCAGTTTTCCCCTGAAACTAAGAGATACTAACAAAAATTCTAATTAACTCTCAGAATCAGGAGTCTACCATTACCTGGAAGTCATCTTCTAATAATTCTTTCTTTTTCATTAAGAGTTTCTTTTTCTTCTTGCTCAAATTCTGTTGTTCGACTATCTTTTTATAATTAAAATGCTTTCTGCCATCATCCTCGTTGTCCATCATAAGTAGGGCAATTTCAGCCTGTTAAAATGGAAAAGATACCATGTACACAATGAAGTGAGGTTTTCCATGAAAAAAATACTGCAACATTGTCAATAAAGTCTATGTGATTATACATACACATAAATGAGTTGAAATAGGGTTGTCCAGGCAGTCATATTTCAGGCATTTCCTAACTGTTGAGTGCTTAACTGTTCATCCCTAATAACTTTTTTTTAACATTTTGAGGTATATTAAAAACAGACATTGATTTCTTCTTTTATTAAATATAAATAAATGCAAATATACACATTCAACTATGTGACATGTACTAATAATCTAACCTGAAAATTGTACCCCAATTTAGAAATCAAGAATGGATATAGTTTTATAGCAATATTCACACTGCAGAATGAAAACTAAATTTAATACTTGTTCTGGAAAAGAATGGAAAGAAAACATACAATAACTGGAAAATTAAATCTTCAAGATAAAAAGTCTACAGTAAAAGTTTCTAATGTTTCATACTATGCTGATGTTAGAAGTTCTGCACTGCCCCAACACGCAAACATACTGGTATAATTATAAAGTTAGAGTGAGTATGGGGTCAGCATGGTTGCCGTGCCCTTACATTTTACTGTTACCAAACTCTATTGAGCTGTGTTCAACTATAACATAACTCTTCCAGAGTGTTATTCTGATTTAATTTTAAGACATTAAGGCACAGATGATCTGCCACTCTTCTTGGGTAATTCGTTCCAAAAGCTCCCACTATTAGAAGCGCATCATTTCATTCTATTGCTGTTTATAACCACCCTACGGAATTCACTAGTTCTACTCGCAAGTACATAAGTATTTGTGGAATTCAGGCAATTCAACGTCTTTCATCCTTAACGTTTTAGAACACTTCACCTTCTGGTTTTCAACTTCAGCTTCAGCTTCTGGAGCACTTTCAACTGATTTTGCTTTCTTCTTTAAATCTGAATGCAAAGATAGGATATGCATGTTTATTCAAGCTTATACATGAGATCATAATTTATCTATGAACAGGACCTCAACGTGCATCTCCTTTTCTTGCTGTCATTATTTAAAGAAATAAAAGACAAAAATAAAGAAAAATCAGCTAGACCTAGTAAAGATTCACTGAATACATATTCAGTGAATGCTCACCATTAATCTAAAGAGGCAGCAGTGCTCAAACAGCAAAAAGAAGTCAAAAAAGAACAGTTGTGGGATGAGGGGGAAGGGTTTTACTGTGTTTTCAGAGAGCAGTAAACAGAAGTATCATAACAGTGCAGGCAAGCATGACTCCACTCCCAAGGTACTTAAAGAGAAATTGGTTTATACACTCAAACGTAACCGAGGTGTCTTCAGTCTTCAAATTGTTCCCTTGTTCTACTCTAAGTTTTAGTACAGAATGGGACAATGTAATAAATACTTTAGGAGAAAAAAAAGCAAATCTGCAAGTCTCTCCTCTCTCAAAGAATAGAAATCAAAATCTGCCAGCTGAATGACAAATTACATCAGTTTAAAGAACTAAAATAAAGAGACTGAAAATGGTCTTTAAATTAATATACAAGATTAAAAGATCATATTGTGCTGTTAGCCAAGCAAAAGCAGAATTAGGGGAATGAAAATATACTTGACTCTGTTCAGCATGAATATTCTTCTGATGAAGCTTTCTTACACTCTTACAAGATATTTTAGAAACAAAGCGATGATGAGACAAACGCAATGAATAGTAACAGCATAAAACAGAGGGCAACATAACTTTTAATGAAAGTAACTGCATTTACAAATCCTTTGAAATCAAGTTGTTCTCTCTGGGAAGCTTAGAGACCTAGATCAAGAAGGAGCAGAGAAAGAAGGTGGTTTCCTGACCTGAGCCACACACTCTGACCTTTGAGCTTGGAATTACATTCCCAGGCAATTTATTATAGTCCACTGGGGGTATTCTTAAGGAAGATATTTGGCTCCATTTTGTTAAGCCAGATTTGTACTCAGACTAGAAATACAAATATGCCAAAAAAACGTCAAGTTATATCACTAAGTATACTCTGGAACAGGACACGTTTTTTTTAAAGAACACTTCTTCCTCCCTTGACTATTCTCTTGACTATTTCTAAACAGATTTCAAGCCTGAAATGGATTTCTAGAACAGAACAAAGAAACCGCTGCCACCAAAAAACAAACTGCAGAGGCATAATGTCATCAGCTCAAGTACTAAATTGTTAATTCAGTGCTTTCAGAAAATGTGCAGGAAAATCAGGTTCAAAAATAATTGTTTACCTAACCTCCAGAATATTAATTTAATGTGAAGGAGGGAGAAAAACATTTATGTAAGACTTCAACAAATTTAAAATCTTTTCCATCTTCCCAGAATTGGGTAAACCAGTGAAAAGCAAACAGGGCGTGAGGATGCTAAGCAGAGACAACGATTCTAGAAGATGAATCAATAAACTCTTCTCCTTTCTTTCAAAGGACTGACCTAAAGTTGTCTTCCTTCTTCTTTCCTTAAATGTAGAAACACAGAAGTGAAGACAGCTTATCTTAAAAAAGCCGTCACAGGCTAAAGGTATTTTCTATGCAAAGCTATTTTCTATGAAAGGAACGTTTTTTAGGCAACCAGCAGCTTGGGGCCTGAAATCATTCTATGCACTAAAACCTTTTTCCATCCTCCTGACAAGCATTTTATTTCAAAACGGACAAACATATCGTTTTCTCTTTCTTTTTAACATACTCTTAACACATTTGCTCTCCCCATACGTATGTTCTGAAGGTCCTTCCCTCCCCCACCACACACACACACACGTGAGTGTAAAAACCTAGATGAGCGCCCTCCCCAAACTGATCCCAAACCTCAGAATTTACTTACACCTAACTCCGCTCCCGTCTTTTAATCAGACCTGGTCTAGCCTACTGCAGCTGATGCTTCTCTTTAATGCTATGCAGAACTGACAGCTGCCACCACCCAGTGAGAAAAACTTCTAGTTCCTGCTGCAAGCTCCCTAAAACTGCCATTTAGCTCTTTCTCAGGTCAGGAATTTTGTTTACCACACTCATTTTGCACATGAACAACTTTCCAGCATTAGCAGCAAAAGACTAACCATCATTTTGAGACTTGAGATACAGAGACTGACCCGAGTCCAAACACTGCCCTCAAGAGCTCTCATCTACCTTATCCAGAACTTTGAAAGTCAGCCTCAAGCCTTGCAAAGACACAAAGGAATAATCAGTTAAGCAGTTGACCTTCATCTTCAAGAACACGGTCTACACGAATAATCACTTTCTGCTTTTAGCCTCTTCTGTCTCCATAAATAGTCATACTGATACCTTCCAGCATTAAAAAGCTATCAGTTTCTACATCTACAGTAAATTAGATCATGAGAAAGCATCTAAATGGTACTGCAGCCTATGGGATTTGTAATAACAGTAGTAGGACAGCAAAAAAGTTCCAATCGGGAAAAAAATTCTTTGGGAAGAAATGTATTTTCTTTGGACAATGATAAAGACATTTGGAAAAAATCCGCAGAGCCATTTTAAAGCACCAGAAGACATGCCTTATACCTTTTAAGTCTGCTGAATTTCAAGCAGTTTGTTATATTTATTTTCTAACTTGGTTTAAAACTCAGTTACAGCTCACCTATGCAGAATGTATTTACAGTTTAATCATAGATGCTAAAACCATGTTACAAAAAAGCATAAAATTGCTGTTAATCACTTTGCCCAGAAATCATTAATTATCTAACCATGATAAAAACCAGAATATTTCTAGCATACAATGAAATTCCAATTTCTTTCCACTTCCTATGGCTCTCACAAGAAAACCACATTCTCTCCTGCCTTGCTTATATTATTTTTTTTCCATAAACTTCAGCTGACATGTAACCAATACTTTCATCCTCAGCTGCCAAAATATTACTCTTGAAAGAATAAGTCAGATATCTAAAATATATCCATCCATGGAAAACTTAAGAACCTTTTTGGCTAACAAAAAGTCAATTCACATTTGATAGCTACAAGTTCTTTTCCCATTTGGCAGGAAATTTATCACTAATTCCTCCATCAACAAAAATTCAGCGCACTCTTTATTCTGTAGGGAGATAATATGAGTAAATTACTTTAAGAGACCAAGCTAATCAGATTTCAAAGTGGCGTTAAAATCTATCTATTAATTCCATTACAACATATAACATTGAAAGAGGGGATAGTTGTACAGAGAACTTCATCATCCTTGACTGGTGGGGTACCTTCACTCACAAAACTGAATTTTTCTTTCCAACGTCACATGGATTTCGGTTTGACTTGTAAAAAGCTTCGGTACAAAGGAAACTTGCATCTTGTCAATAACAGGGTGTGTTAGCAAAAATCTCTTCATTGGAATTCTGAACTTTTCAGAAAACATAGCAAGATGTAACACAGTAAGATGCACTATTTAGCTGTAGAGTGCTTCAAATATGAAGTTGCATTAAACAAAGTATATTTAAATCTTGTACTACTGTGCGTGTGTGTGTGTGTGTGTATATATACACACACAAACACACTTGTGTGTATATATATATAAAAAATAGATATTTTCCTTTTCCTCAAAAAAGAATTAACAGAGCTATATTTAATTGGTGTAGCTGCTCTGAAGCTATGCAGTGATTTCCAAAAGCAGGAGGCTGCTATCATGTTAATAAGCAATTTCACTATTCAGCTATTAGTCTTCCAACAGTTTAAGTTCAAAAATAGTCATTCTGTACTGCACAGACCTTTTTTATGAGACCCCAAGGAAACAGACACACTAAGACCAAAATTGGCCAAGCCGAATTACAGATTTACAACATTTTTGGAAAAATTATATACCTTAATATAAAACAAGAGTGCCAAGAAATTCTTTCCTCACAATACCAAACTAGAATCAAGCTGCTTAAATACAACCTAAAGGCTTACACACATACAGTATTTTACGTTCTAGCCCATGGCACTTCGGAGAAACCATTTAGGGATTATGCACATACAGAATTATGTCCAAGGAAAGCACTGGCATAAATTTCACAAGCGCTAACTAGCACACGCTTGCACCCTACATGGGCGCTCTTTGGGCATAACAAGCACAAGGAACTGGGGCTTTACCATGCCCCTCCTGAGAGGGAGCACTCCACATCATAAGAATCGCTGCCTACTTCACAGTTTTCTGGAACGGAGACAAGCCTGGCAAATACCTGCTTAAGAAGACTTCTCATAACGTCTGTTTTTTGCTTTTATACCACTGTTGCTCGAATAGGCCCTTTGTCTAACACCTCCTTGCAATCTAGCTGCCCTCCAATTGCTTCAACTTGTCAAAAAATAACTTACACAGACCCATAGACGGTACAGCGAACAAGTCAATCTAGCCTGGGAGCAAATATACCAACTGCAAAACCCTAACAGCACTACTGTGTCCTCACTGTTTCTGCTCTGGTCACCTGAGTCTGCAAACATATCCTGTCATATATTGTTCCAGGATAATCTAATATCATTTGACAGCCCGTTTAAGGGAGAAATTTCAGTCTTTCAGGGGAATTGTTGAAGGCTTATGAAAAATTATGATCATTCAACTTATTACTGCCTGTACCCTAGATACAAAGTTGGCAGAGCTGCAGCCTAGTTCAAAGAACATCATAACTCCTGTTCCCCAATTGGATAAACTAGCTGTGCTTAAAAACAACCCCAGCTATGAGACAGACGTTCTGGGTAAACTTGGTGAAAGCCAGACAAAGTTGTGCTGTGTAATCGTCGTTAAAATGTCAACTGGCTTGCAGCCAACCACTGTACTCTCCCTTTAAAACTGCTCCAGGGCTTGCCACATTCTGTTTTTCTCCTCCTTCTCAGCAGACTATCAGTAATCTTGCAAACAAAAGTTCCACTCGCATAACCTTTACGTCTGTTTTCCATGTCCCCATGGATGATAAAACTCCATGCACACTAAAAGTCTTTTCTCCATATTATGGACAGAAAGGTTAAAAAACTATAGATATGTTCATTCTGTGCTGAGCCCCTTCGTGACTCAAAACTTCTCATATAATGCTGAAGAAACCTTTTTTTTTTTTTTTTAAAGGAGGTTTTGCATACAACATTGAAACATCAAACATCACTATAAGAGTACCTACACGTTTCTGCTAGTAACAAAAGCAAGCAGTTGAAGAAACTGGATCTTCCCAACGGTTTCTGAAATATCCTATACGCGACTCTTCTACCTACTCACTAAGAAAGCAAGGCAAAAAAGTCAGCACTGCATGACACCTTGTATTGTAGTTATTTTCTTTAAAACATGAATAGGATTCACCCTTCTTGTTCTATACTTCAGAATATTTACACATATACATAAGTCCACATTTTTTTCTGAATTATTTACCGTCTCCCAACACAAACAATCAGGATAGAAGCCTATGCTTGCAGGTTTCAAATTAAACCAAGTTCATTCTTTTTAAATAAAACTTGGATCTAGAAAAAAATGGTGTTGGTGCCTCGTGTTGGGGGGGGGGGGGGGGGAAGAGTGGTGATTATCTGCAACTCTGTTGCTATTTTAAAAACAAATATACAATTCCATGAGTCATTCTTAGGCTTTGGCTCCCAAAAGCATGGAAGACCAGGAACTCACACTTCCTGATTATCCCCACCATAAAACTTTAACCACCAAAGTTGTAGTCAGAACAAATTTGCTGTTACCACAGCAAAAGCTAACTTAACGCTGGACCAAGAAGCTTGCAAAAAAGGTATTCTAAAAATCCAAGCCAGACAAGTTATTTCCTAAAATACTACATTTCAAAAAAGCTTAATACTGTCTTGATGCTCATATTATCATGCTAAAATGAATTCCTAGACTGAAATTAGTATCGGAAGTCTGCTATCTATTTAGTATTAGATCATCATAATTCTGAAAACTTGAATAGTTCTCTGTTTTCCATTTAAGTAGGCTACGTGCACTAAAGGTCTATTTAGAGAAAAATAAATCATATTTTCAAACTGTAGAAATATGTTTAAAATTTTCAGTTAAAAAAATACCACAGATTTTAAGCTTACTATTTCACCATTAGGGTTTTTAAGTAGCCAGACTACACTAGTAAAAACGTGCATCAGACTAACAGCAAACAAAATCAGTTTCTTCTGAAAGACAACTTGGTGAAGAACAATCAGTTACCTACGAGAAAACTTGTTTTGTATGTGATGCAAAAACATCTGACGTATTTATCTAACTGACCCAAACTTCAAAGGGGCCCATACATATCTGGCTTCTCACATATATAAAAGGAAACAAACTTCCAAGGCAATGAAGTTATTTTCTCTGGAATATTTTGTGGTTAGATGGCTAGCTTGTTGCCAGTAGAGATCCTCAGAAGTTGACTAAGCGATGGTCTCTGATGAAAGCTAGGAGAAATATTTTCCCTACCATTCCATATATTACAGTATCTATCATTACTGCCTGCAATTGTAGGCAAACGACATCTACTTTATCTCATTCTGAACATGCCATCTCTGCGTTTATCCTAATCTGACTTCATTTCTAAAGCTCATTATTTACAGAAAGGGCACATTTATTCCAAAAAAGTACCTGTCTTGACCTACCTGTTTCCCCAAGCTCTTCAGCAAAGTATGGGTCACTGAGATCAACATCAGATGGAAGTTCATCTCCACTCAATTCTCTCTCAGCAGTAGCCTGTAACAAAACATAAGCATTATTCCAATCAAGATGTAAACTACTATGCACGTTTCACTGAAATTAAATGTTCCTTCTGTTAGGGACTACGAACGTGAAAACTGAAACACTATATGCTGAACTTCATAAAGCTAGAGCACGCTAAAAATGCAAGTAAGGAAGAATCAACAATTTAAAATCTGTTTCAAAGACTGAACTATTTTTTTTTTTATTTTAATGTACCCAAAGAAGGGCAATTTATACAGTCAAAAGGATCTTTAATAGATGTATCCCTAGACTATAAAACGCACCACCTAACCATATCAACAAATTACAGGATCAAGTAACGTTTACAAAAAATAAATGCTTTTAAGAGACTGTCAGTCACTACATTTGGGAAAACACATTGGAAAGTTCTCCTGTTGGTACAGATTTCAGTCCAAGTGTGACATATACTAAGTTTATGGCATATATTCAAGAGGAAATTCTTTCTGCTTCACTGGAGGCAGTTTTCCCACTTCAGTGATAAAAATCAAGGCATAAAACGTAGTAGCTTTGTGTGCCTAATTATTACCTGACTGCTTTTATTTCCTACAAAGACAGACAACGTAGCCTTACTGCGTGAAGTAACACGCTCTTCTATTCTTCGCTACTTCACTGCTCTTTCCGACGAACGCATACCACTTCTATTCAAAATAAGAACAGTCACATAGCGTTCTCAGAACGGCACCACCTCCAGCTCAGGGAGTCACAGACCCCAAAGCCGCTGCGGTACTCTGGGGAAATTTCTTTCTATTACTTGCCCCGCTCCTTCCCAGGCAGGGCTTCTCACTGAGACAGAATAGAGCATGTAAAAAAAGCTTATGTCTGACACAGCATCACAGCATTGTTATGTCCTTATTTTACGTTCCACAAAAACGCTACTTGGGGAACAACTTGAGTAAGGACGCCTCAGTTTATGCTCTGAAATTCAAAAAACATGAACCTGGATTTGAAAGAATAAATTCAATTACTGGAAGAACTGTCTCATACAGCTTGCCTCCTGTATATGAAACCTCTGACTTAATTATGAGACCAAATGAGAATATTATGCTAGCTAAAAATAGTGCTATTTATTAAATTCAGAGTAATCATCTTCCAAAAGATTTAAGAATTTATTGGTCAGATGCCATTTAAAACTGACTGGAATGGACAGGGTACCTCAAGTTGTAGAAATTACTCTTATAAATATTATTCTGTAACATGAAATAGATTGAGAATAATTGAAGAATTTGGGGAAGTTAGATTAACAGCTGCAGTAAGGTTTCATTACTCTGTATTTCTGCACATCACCACCACTGGAGTCAGTCAGTTTACAATTACATTCTGCACGTAGAAAGATAAAGCAGCAGCGATTTTCACACTACTACAGAACAGTTCTGTGCATGAATGACAAAACGATTTACCCTAATTTTCTTTTGCAATTTGAAATTTGAGTAGTTTTTCAGGACTATTAATTTTTTGCTGCTACTGCTTTGGGAGATGGAGGTCTCTATCATTTTAGACCAAAAAATTCCCAAACAATAACTGTCATTCTAATGACGACTTTGCACTGACAAGCTTACTGTAGCAAAAAAGACCCCTCCTAACGCATTCAAAAGTATATCATAAAGTTAGCTTTTAAACTAGACTCATTTATCTTTTCAGTTACACAGGTTAAAACCAGATAGCTAGATAAATGTTTTTGCAAGCATATTATGTATGACCGATATTACCCTGAATATCCTCTAACTCTGTAGGTTTGATGAGGAACATTCAGTCTTTCCAAATGAGTGACCACTACACGTTCAAAGCTCAAAATAGTACTGGAAGCTATGCAGCTTTTTAAAATTCGTCCAAGCAAATAACAGCATTTTCAAAAATTGGAAAAAAAAAAAGTGACCAAAGCAAACATTACCTTTCTTTTTTTTTTAAGATTTCGTTTTTCTTTCTTTTTCTCTAAATATTTTTGCCATGGAGTTAGCTTGTCCTTTCCTTCCAAACGGTTTTTGACCATTTCTTCAGCAGTTTCTTTGAGGCCTAGATCAAAAAAGTAAATTAGATGAATCTGAACCTTTTTTTTTTATTATTTTTTAAATCTACACCTTTTTAAAGGAATAGTTTTGCTTTTTCCTTATCAAGTCAATGAAAACAACATAAACATTGCTTAGTGCAACATCTTTACAAATAGTATCAGTTTACAAGGATGTGTTTTTCCAAATAAAACAATTCTTCAGCAATAAATCGTACAAGTCAGAAGAGCTTACAAAACCTGATTCCCAGCCCTACTGCTGTTCCTCAGAGATTCCTCTGCAGTCATTAGCGCTCCGTTTATACTAGAGATGCCACTTTGTAAGGATAAGAGTAACGCAGTAAAACATATACAGCCACCCTTAATGTACCTGACTATAATTAGTTACGCCTCACAAAACCACTTTGAATACAGTACAGTCACTTCCGCTTTTCGTGAGGGGAAAGACAAAGTACAAAAGGTTTAGTGAGTTGACAAAGACTCTGAAAAGTTAAATCATGACCAGAACGTACGACCATCTGCCAAGAGCTGGCTTACGCCTCGAGCCAGCGCTGTCCTTTCCACGCAGAGTTATCATCTGGTTGTTACCATGCCAATATACCCCACAGAGGCAAGAGATATAGAGCGTTTCCGTGATTGAAACGTTGCCTCTGCGATAATACTGCGGCATCTCTGAAAACTAGTGTGTTTTTCATCCTTTACTGCAAAAGGGAACAATAAGCTATTATTTTGACAAATTTAAAGTCAAAATAAAGTTGCAGCTGAAAAGCACAAAAGAACCCAAATAATAAACCAAAGAGTTTCTTGCATTATGTACTACCCTCCTAATGTGATATGTGTTAAGTCAAACTAGGCAAGATATTTTTCAGTCATCCAGCCTTCTAATTCTGCTATAACACTTGGGACAAGAAAGAACGTATGAAATCCTGTATTTCCACTTAAAATTAAAGTGATACAGGAGAAGAGGAAAGCGTATTAAAATATCGAGAGGCTTAGGATTTTTCAAATATTTAGGTCATAAAAAAAGCACAGGCTTTCTGGATTTGGGTTCTACTTTTTTTTTTACCCAAACTACTGCAATCAGAAACTTACACTCTATTAAAGACAAAAAAATAGCACTGTTTTTATAGTATGGCTATAAATAGATAGAAAACAAAAGAAAATGCCTTTTAAGCCACAAAAATAGAAATGGCTATTTTTTATTTTAAAATAATTGTAATACTCCAAAACATTGAACACGTACTATGCATGCATTACACAATCTACCTAACTGCTGACAGCCTTTGATCAAAGAAGTCTGTTTTCCTGTTAAACGGCCAGAAGTTTTAATTCCCAAAATTATTTTAAAGCTAGTTGGTACCTTACTAATTTAATAATAGAAAGCTATCTTAAACATAAGAAACAGCATATTCCTGGCATGACAGGAAACCTAGATTCAATACTTTCAAGGTAAACAGCATTTTTCTTCTAAACTATATGTACACAAGAAGTAGAGATTAAGGGCAGAGACTGCTTAAAATAGATCAACCTCTCACAGTAACCAAAAAATTACAGCGTATAAAAGAACGTATTCTCTTATCACTGGGTACCAATTCAAATTGTAATGATTCAAAAGAAAGAAAAAGATGAAGCAAGAGAAAAATAATCCTCTTATTTGGTTAGGCACACCAAGCTGCCAAAAGCAATTTTTGCATTTAGCAGCTATGTGAGCTGAAGGATCAAAAGAGAGGAGCACCATTCTTCCGCTCCGGGTTCTGCGAGGAGTTATAACCTTTTAGACCATTAACTTAAATCTTCACTTCTTCCGTGTCCTTTTGTTACAAGTACGGTCTAACTTCTTTGCCCTCAACTTTGCATTTCCTGACCTGTCAACAGCTAGAAAAGGTTGGATGGCACACTAAATGCTTTCCTGAAAGAAGTTTCCTCTTTACTTCCGCATTGTGACAGTTTCCTAAGGGTCCCTGAAAGCACGCACCACAGAACTGCAATATACCGTCTCTAAATAATCGTAGCTTAACGGGATGAAATAGAAAGTTTTGAATGTGTTAGATTTACATGAAACTCCACACATTTTAAACACAAACTGATACTGTTTCAAAGCCTATCACTTGAAGCTACACAAGAATGCCCTAATCTTTAATTTAGCCCTCTTGCGAATATATGAATTCTGATAATAGTTTTTCATCACATGATCATATTTTATCTTTTCTAGAGGACCTTAACCCCATTTAATATATAGATGGTAATTAACATGTATTTTTTGTGTCACTGCTCAATTTATAGCCAATAGTTTGAACCCTACTCTAGACACAGAACGGAGCTTTCTATAACATGTATCATTACAGTATTTCGTGGCGGAAAAACATCACCTTAAAAAAAGAATCCATTAAATAACCGCAGTGTCACTGTTTTACAGATAGCTATGTAAATCCAGAAGAGACACTGAATTTAAAAGCATTCTTCATTTTGGGTGAAAAATTTCACACGCTTCAGGAATGCTTTTTCTAAAAATCTTTACATCATGCAGCACTTACACGTTACAAGGGCAACTCCTGGTTTCAGATGCAGCTTATACACTTTCAGCCCTTCTTCACATTAGATAGAAGGTATCGAGATGGGTATCAAGAGGGGCACTCACAAAAAAATGAAGCTTCACGATGTGAAGAGATTAACTGACTTGCCTTGCAACTCCCTGGAGCAGAATTCAGTGGCAGAAAAAGAGAGAATCCACTTTCCTGGCAGAAGGTAACAGCCTGAGTAATGAAACCGTTTTTTTCCTCCTACCTTCCTTGCTTCATTCACTACACTTTTTTTTAAACTTCTGTAACAAGTGCGTCAGATATCCTCTAGTTAGCATCCTTTTACGACATGACTGATAGACCTTTGGAATCACGTGTAGGAATCACGTTTCTGTTTTCCCCTCCAAGCCCGACGCGTTCTGTCTCTTCCCAATTATACTTGTTCCAATTGTCTCTTGTCAGAGCCTCTTTCCTACCACCCTCGTCCAGCTCTCACCCTAACCAAATCGTAATCTCCCATTTCTCATGCCAGTTTTATTGCTCAGAAATCACAGCCTGACCTCTTCAGATGTCCTAGATTAGATCCCATTCTTTCTCCCAACTCCCAGGTTTCTCATTTGGCCAATCCCAGCTCCTCATCATTTCTTCCAGCTCTCCTCAGTAACGAGGAACTGAAAGTAGAGTTCATAATGGAAAAAAATGGGCAGCTTCATGGACCGTTCTACCGTCCCTAGAAAAGCAAGCAGAACATTTTTCTGAAAAACTGCAAACACCAATTTCTGTTCTTGCACTTGTCTACACTCCAAAAATAATTCAAAGGCTTGAGAGCTGGTTACAACATGTCTGAAACATGAAGTACAGACAAGATCTAAAAAAGTATTAAATCATGCCTTATATGAAGAGAAGAAATGAGCAAAAAATGATAGAAGCCAGAGTTAACAACAAGTTGCAAACAATTGCCACCACAAAAACTGGGTACTAACACAGCAAACAAATGCAAAGCCATGATAAAGAAAAGGGAGGATATTATAGGTCCACCACAAACGTGCTCACTAGGAAGCCATCTGATACTACCAGAGCAAATATTTACAATATATCTCTTCCTCTCCAAAGTCAATGAAAGCAGATTCATCTGCTTCCCAGAAACTGAGCCGGAGGGAAGGAGGGAAGGAGGGAAGGAGGGAAGGAGGGAAGGAGGGAAGGAGGGAAGGAGGGAAGGAGGGAAGGAGGGAAGGAGACCCCCAAAATCTCAAAGGAGGTTACAAGATTTCTGATTATTTGCCTGGAAAATGGAATCATTTGATCCATCTGGCGCAGAAGGACTTGGAAGAAAATACAGCCCTTTCTTGTGGTATTTGGCAGTCTCATGAAAGGCACTGGAGTTTCTCCACAGATCAGAATGGCTTCGAAACAACTGTCCAGACCACTTCCCGAGAGTGAGAGTGTATTTAAGTGGTCAGAAAGCTTTTGATTACAGAAGGGGAAAGAAATTGTCTACTTTAGGTAGAATTATTAACTGTCCATAGAAAAGGCCAATTTGTACTCTTATCTATATCAAAAAAATTTAGTACAAACAAATGAATCACACTAGTCGTATTTAATCTTCACAAATCAGGGCCACGAAGAGGGAGAAACTAATACATATTAGCAAGCAACTAATCATACTTGCACTAAAGAATTAAAAGCATGACAAATAGCACTGTAACTAACCCAGGTATACGGTTTCTCAGACAGCTGGGGGCAGGGAGGGAGAGAAGCAGGTCAGCATTTTTACTGCTCTAAACAGATAGTTTTGAAAATTGTTACAAGTTTCACAATTTTTAACTGTCAGCAAAAAAAGAAAAAAAGAAAAGATCAGAAGCTAGAAAGATACTCTTCTATTCTCAGAAAATCTAAACCAACAAGTTCATCTTGCATGTATACCTTCTCAGAAAAAAACATTGTTGTAGGCAGCTCATAGGAATGGCTGACAGCAATCTTCTGATAACATTAGCATTTCTCGCCCCCAAAGATAAAATGAGCCACTGCCAAGACGTCTTAGCTAACACAGTATAACCCCCTGAAAAGAATGCCCTGTAGCCTGTCAGGTTTTCCTCCTTTTTCTGCCCTTTACCCCTTCACTACCTCTTAGCATATCAAAGCAGGAAAAACTAAAATTAACGTTCAGTCATGGATAGCAAGCAAAAGGGCCCACTGAGGACCACCTCTCAGAAGGACCAGCCATCCAAATACAGGACCAACAGCAGCAGTTACAATGTGCTCAGGTGACGCTGTAGTTTTTTTTCCACACGCCATGCACCACTGAGCACGTACTTCTTTGGGCTGCCTGAGGGAAGCACACCGCGGTCAGCCAACACGCGAAGGAACAGGACGGATGGAGCCCGATATCCCACGCGAGCGTTTTCTTGCTCCACACGATCTGTAACAACACGCAGTTGGGGTTCTCGATGTGCTTTACAGGGAGATGACTGCCCGCTCTTCTACTTCGGATGAAAACAAAACCTAAAGTTTCCTTTAAGCCTAGCTAAATATTCCTCCCACACGATTACTTTTCAAGTTCAATAAGAAAAACTGTATGAAAAACTGGCCTAATATCATCAACAGACTCCATTGTGCTCTTCTCCCTCTTCACCTTCTAATGGAGCTTTGGGAGCTGGATAAGGATGGATAGTCATTGTTGCTCAAATCAGATATGATTAAGAAAACAGATGGATGCTTCAGTGTAACACTGATTCTGCGTCTGAAAGAAACAGACCATCGAGAGTTGGAACTCCATCTAATTTATTTTTGTTGGCACCGAGGTTTATTTAAAACTATTATGATTCAAGAATAACTGAATCATTCACAAAGTATGCTTTCTATAACCATGTGTAAATATTTGTGCCAAAACTCAAATTTTTAAATTAAATTAAATCAAATCTGACTTTCAATTGAAAAACTTCCTAGGTTTAACTGTTGTAATTCTCTTTATATTAAGCATTTGGGCAGGAAAATGATTTTGCAACAAGTGAAGTATATTAAGGAAGAGCTTGATAATAAAAATATTTTAACAGACAAAAACTAGTTTTGAAGACATTAAGGAGTCTTAAGAGATTATAACAAAAACTATTTTTGAATTCTCAAAACGCTCCAAGCAGAACACAATTAAATTGTTTTGGAATTTAAATGAGCACGTTTGTTTAAGGAAAAATAACGTAATAACTAATATACCTCTCCTCTGAGAAGGAGGCATAACCTCAACTGCATAAATTGCCAGAGTTATAAGCTACTGTTCAGCAAGTGCCGATTATGGTCCACCCTAACATCTCCCCGCAAAAAACTTCCCTTTTGGGTGCGCAGGACCTCATCTCCAAGTGCTGCCTGAAATCAGTGAAGGTCAAAGCACTGCTAGACATTAGATGTGAAAACAATAAGACACTTCTCTTCACTTTTAACACTCTTAGTTTGGAAGGAAGCCATCCAACTCATTAAAAGGATGAAGGAGGCAGAATAGGAACAGGAATCTGAAAGTGGATTTACATGGTCAGAGACAAGAACCAGCAGGCAAGGCAGCCGGGTTGAACAGGAGTAACAACATCACAAACTGAACCCAGGTTTCCAAAGTCTGAATGCTCTTCTCCTACGAAACGAGAGAAGGGGGAAGAGAGGAGAGGGAAGAAGGGAAGCGGGAAGAGAGGAGAGGGGAGAAGGGGGAAGAGAAGGTGCATCTCTCTCTCTATAGATCTATATATCTATCCCTGTAACACTACTGGCTGTATTCCAGGGGCTAATAGCACTACTGACCAACCTTGTGGAGGTAATTAGTTTAACTAACAGGGGCAAGTGAATGCTTCTACAATTTCCAGCACTTCTGATGATCTCTGATACTACTACAGCTTTTTTAGGGTAAGAAATTAGGAAACACTAATACATACTGCAGAACCACAGTTGCAGAACTGACATCAAACACTGTAAACTACCAATGTTAAACTTCATTGTGCACATATGCAAATGCAGCCCATCACTGTATGAACAAACAGCAACAATGCACAGATATCCACTTGACTCTTGACTCTAGACAAAGTCAGTCATTTTTATCAGAATGGTTTTAGCATCGGGCCTCTCAGAGCGACAGGAAGGACGATGAGTGTTCACGTGCATAAACCCCACTCCTTTCCACCCTCTTCTCAAGGGAGGTGGGAACATACCAAAAGTTGTAGGAGCTCCACAAGAAGGTGCAGTAGGGAAGGGGCTGGATTAGATGAAATATGGAACAAAGACAATTTTCTAAAGCGAAATTCAATTGCAAAGACACAAGGAGCCCCTGTGCAAGGGAATTTCATTCCACGTCTACCACAGTTCCTAAATGTTAATATAATTGACCTATAACATGCAAGGTAAAGTTTTAACAGCCAGAACCTTTCAGCAAACAAACTTCAGCTCTCCCTGTGCTACTAAGTTTCCTTCAGTCACTCTTAAAACAATTTTGCATGTCCTCCAATGAATGGTTTGCTCTACATTCTTAACTATATCACCGCATTAGGTTACTTTGATTTTTTTGATTTACAGAACTTCATTCATACAATTTACGAGATTCCTTCTCATATGGGAGGACAGATTGTATCACAAATAAAAGAACCCCAAACATAGTTAAAAACCAACACAAAAATGACAGCTTTTCTAACTGTTTAAAAGCCTGCCCTATCTATCTATTTTATATAAACAAATACAGAACACATTCCTAATAGCAACACTTTGTTTCTACTGTGGCTTACAGCTTTGGTCTGAAAGGCGGTAACAACAAATCTTTGTAAAAATCTTATCATAGCTACCTACGTATGAAAACTCCGCTGCCTTTAATGCTCAGTGACGCAATGAATTAAAAGACATTAAGAAAGCAACTTCAAGAATGCAAATACTGACACACTGTGGATAGCAGAAGTAAAACATGATGATACTGCTGTGCTTAGTAAGCACTCATATCAGATAACACATGGTATATATATTTTCCTCTAAACTTTTGGGAGAATTCATGCCAGAAAGGATTCAGATTATATAAGCACAACTGAAAATTCACAGCTATTTTAATGCCACCGCACACTTTCAAACACAGATCTTATCAAAACCTAGGAATAAAATTAATTCATTGAACTGAATTGAATTCACTAATTGAGTTAGTACAGACCAGAAGAGGATTTTAAGAGAGAGCATTTTTATGCAACAGAAGTTCTCCTTGAGTGAATGCAGAATAATATTAGCGTAAATCAGATAATTAGATATGCATTCCCAGCTAGAATTAATCCAGTCCCTTCTTCATGGATGCCTTCTAGCATGGCTCTAGTCTTACTACTTACAGTAATAGATCAGGCTGCGTCCTCACGTAGGCTGCAGCTCCACACATACCGAGCCAAAATAACAACAACTCGCTGCCCACCGAAAGGGAACGCCACGCTTCCCTGCTCTCTGGGCTGCACACTTCAACCCTTGAGCATTCACCAAGTGCTTCCATGAACCTATCTGGCTTCCTAACCCAACAGAAAAAGATCCACATCTTTTTTTCTTTTCAAGACTAGTTCTGCCATTTCAGCACATGAAATTAACTTACAAAGGGATGTAACAAGTGCCAGGGCTGGTACAGGCAGCCAGCACGAGCTCAGGACCTGGAGCAAGGAAGAGAGGCCACAGTGATGTGTGCTGAGTTGTTAAACTGGTGCAATAAATCCAAGGGAAAGCACACACCCATAAACAAAAGAAAAATCAGTTTGAATGTCTTTTGTCTACGAAGGAAAAAATAGACATTGTTTTTGAGATCTCTAGATGAGTTCTGCTGGGATGCTGCTATATGGTGAAGTCATCTGCTTGATTCCCAGATAAAAATCTGGATGTCACTAAATACATCAAAATATTCCCAAAAAGTTTTCTTCTTAGTAGCTTTCCTTCCCACAGAGTAGTCTCACTGGAAGGTCAGATTCCATTTCCCTTTTCTTTCCCCCAAATCTTCACTATTAAGCTAGCAAGATTTTAAAGCAATTCACCTCAAATTTTATGCTGTTTCCAAATCATACTGGTTTTCCTTTTTAAAAGTGTAGATGAGTCTTCTGTTCTGTGATTCTGTGGCAAACACATGAGTTCTATTCGAGAAAAATCTATAAAACGATGAATAAAAAAGCAAGTACAAGAAAAACTGGCAAAAAAAAAAAATTGCACAGACAGCCTTACAGCTGAGGAACTGAGCTCAATCAAGTTATTTCTTCGATTTTCATCACTATAATCCATCTGGATTTCAATTTATGGGAAAAAAGATCAGTTTCTACTACCACAAGTCCTACGCCTTGCATTATGTCCCTATCAGGGGGCCAGTACTATATATCCTCCAAGTTAACAAAATAAAAAAATTATAGCTTACCTGGAACCCATTTAACCTCCATTTCTATATCATCATCTTCCTGTTTTTTCTCCTTTTCTTGGATACTTTTTAAAAGTTCTCTGTACTTAGCAATTTGCTCTTCATCATCTTTTTGGCTTTTCTTGGGTTTGTCATCTTCCATTTCACGAGCTACATCACCACCTTAAAAAAGAAATTAAAGTTATCACAGGCAATCTCAACAAAATGATAAATTAAATTAATGTTTGAATTAATAACACACAAAGCACATGAAAATATTTGAGATTGTTTTGTTGGAAATTATTTATCTGTAACTCGCAGAAAAAGTAACCCAATTTTAGAACTCTCATATTTAACAGATGAAATAAAAAAGTATCTAAAAGGTCAAAGAAAATTTGTCCAACGAAAATCACTGATAGGACACTGCATTTTCAAATTATTAATTTCAGTATCTCTTACAGCAGAGTAGTGCCTAAGTCGCCAAAATTAGTTCTGCAAAGCATTCTGAAATTGTAAAGCGTTATATTTGAACAAAGCTTTCAACATTCTGCCGCAAGACAGATAAATATTCCTGCCCTGATATTCAGTGACTTCCCAAATAAACAAATGAAGCAAGATGGAACAAGTGTTTTGGGTTTGGGGCTTTTCTGGGGTGTGTGTGTGTGGGGGGGGGGTGGAGGTTCAAGCCACAAGCCCTGGAAGCCGGGTGGGCTTGGTGGGGGAAATAAGCTTTTAAAAACTGTTTCAGAGACAAACCAGCTTGTAGAGGCTTTGAAGATGCTGCAGCGCCTTGAGCAACAAACCTAGGTTTGGGGCAGGGCTTGGTCATTTTGCGTGTGTATGTTTTCCTCCCTCTTAGCAGTGAGGCTGTACTTCCTGCAGTTGCATGGACAGTATAACTGGTGTCGGAAAGCCAGACCTCAGCTGCAAGCTAGCACAGAGCAACCTCTGCTCTTTGGCTAGAAGTTAGGTGCAATACTGTTTTCTTCTCTTGCACAGCCCACCACTGTAAGGTGCTGGCTGTTGGCTGGGACTAATAATCTTGACTTTCTGATTTAACTGCAGCTGCTTTTCCGCATTCCTCATAGATAGCAGAGATTTCCTAAGAGGGAAGCATCTGCTCAGGCAGCAGGCAAAAGTCATTCAGCTCTGGAGAGTGGGAAGAAAAAAGAAAAAAACAATTTTTTTTTTATTGTTTCTTCTTCCGTCTGTCACGTGAAATAAGAAGAAAACTGAACTGGATGAGACCTGAAGAAATCCTTAAGCTAAGAAAGGCTTCCATGAAACTGGATAAGGAAGGGACTACGGATGTCTATTTATGATTGTTTCTCAGGAGAATCACTTATGAATAAATAAACCTTCTTCCAGTACTTTATGCAACTGGGAGAGGATAATTTTTAGAATACAAGTTTGGTATTTCAATATATTCAGCATTTTTTCTAAGAGGAGAAATTTAAATTGTCATGCACATTGTCATACTTTGCAATTTAGAAAAACTATGCATTTCTTTTGTCAAAAATAACAATTTTAGAAACATTCAAATATCACCTCAAAAAAAGTCCAAAAAAGCCTTTTCGTTCTATAAGCAAATAAAGAACACTTGAGAACAGCTGTGAGAAAGAAAAAAGAGCTGAATATGTTCTCAAACTTTGTTCAGACTTCAAATAATCTTGTTGCTAGCTTTCAAGTATCACACTGTAACGCACAACATGAGGAACCACTTTCTGATGGATATTAAGGCAGTTGTCTTCTGCCAACGGCTCATTCAAAGACTTTTTAGTTCAAAACAATTCTGGTGCCTTAACAGTTGCATTGTAAAAGAAACACAGACAATTAAGAGAAACAAGCTTAAGGTGTGAAGGAAAAATGCATAAGCAGCTGAAACTTAGCTTGAAAATACAAGTATATTCTTAATTTTTTTAAAGAAGTAATGGAAATGCTAACACAACTAGAAAAACTGAGGAGGGAAAAAAAAAGTTGATTGAACTCCTGACACAAGTCAGAAACTTTTCAATACAATGGTCTGTGCTTTATTTTTCCTCCCCAGAAAGCTCTAACTCAAAAACGTAAACGCAAATGCAGAGGCTCAATATATTACATTGCTGATTGACAGCAGCGTCAGTTGGTTAAGTTGCGATCCTGTTCTCGTAAACGTAGAACACTTGCAAGAAATCATATTCTTAGTTTAAAAAAAAAAAAGATGAGCAATGACTGAGTGGATGATTGGTTTTTAATTTCCTCAGCCTCACAAACTAAAAGCGAGTAGACAAATAGAAAAGAAACACTGCATTTGAAAACAAGCCTTCTGCAAAGTTGAGTTGACTTTTAAAGATGGAAAGAAAAAAATCCTCCCTCATGATATCAAGGCACACCAGAAAATTCGGCCATTGATCTGGAAACAGATGGCCATACCATAAAAATGCACTATCCAACTGAATTATGTCCAGTGTAGTTACTTAAATTCAGAAAGATACAAAATAAACTACAACACATATAGACAAGCAGAGTGAAGAATAAAGAGCTCTACTCTGCAGGATTTCAGTAGCAAGTCTGAGATAAAGAGATAAAGATATGTGTCCTATAGCATGATATGAAAAGTTAAAATTGTTGACCTGAATTTTGAGCCACAAAATAGTGAAAAATGAAGAAAAATAAACCTGCTTTCCCACATTCCTGGAACAGGCCAAACAAGAAGCTGTACAAGTCCCAGTGATTCATCAAAAGGATAAGGGAAATATTTAGAATATGCAGTAATCAAAAGTAGCATATTTAAAGCCTGTGAAAGTAGACATCTTCCGGCACAATATTTTTCAGGCATAAGATAGATACTGAAAGAAAAAGGTAGAACTGCTTTCCAGAAACAGGAAACAGTAAATAAATGGTGAGCATTACATTTTGTCTTTTTTAGTTTTTGTCTTTGTTTCAGGTCAGGGTAGCGTAACCTTTTCAGTGGCGTGCATTGGATGCAATTTCAGAGTCACTTTGCAAACCAGGTGACTGTAGCTGCTGCAGCCTTCAAGCATCTGGCTGGCTGTGCAGAGGTGACTGGGATTCCTAGAGCCATGCTTTTGAGCCAGGCAGACGTAAGCCAAGACTAATATGCTTCAAATCAGAGTTGGCTCCAGTCTAGCCCTTTCAGAGTAGGGACACACTGGCCTGCAAACGCACACGCAGATGTATCCTTCAATTCTAAGTTACTGGACACTTCCAACAGCTTGTTTGAACTTATTAGAGGAGTCGAGATGACCCTTGTTCCTGGCCTTCCAAGCACATTTTGTTACAGAAGCTCCTGTAAACGTGTTTTGGAAAATCTCCAGCACCTGCATCAGTAACACTACACTTCTGAAGCTTCACAGAAAGAAAATCATCAAGTTGTATTGCTTCTCCTTTGTCTCATGAAATTCCACCACGGCTTGGCAATTTATAAGCTGTTTAACTCCTCTTCTAGCTTGCTTCCTTAGGAAATATTTTAGCCAAAAGCAACCCAACAGAAATATCCTAAAAAGTCAGCTCTTTATTACCGTCAAAAGAGCACTATTACCAGAGCAAAGCAAGTACACAAGATTGAGGGAGACAACACAAACAATATCCTGTTCAATGCATTTGATAAACATGCATCTGATTCGGGGCAATGTTAAATCGTTTCATGTTCTACTTCTATCATCTTCCATTATTTATCCTTCTGTAATAGTTCTAGCAAATAAATACTTGTATACGTTCTGCCACTGTTTGTTTTTCAAAAAGCAAGGTGGACTGTGTTGTCACATGATAAAATTAAAAGATACATTTAAATTTATGTACCTAGTCAGAGTTATTGAGCCGAATATATTTCAAAATTACTAAAGAGGTAAGTAGTTTGATTTTATTTCACATTAATCACTACAAATAAGATTAGCATTACTGAAAACATTTAAAACTCCACCCAGCCACTCTCTTTCCCAACAATTACGTTTCCTTTCTCTACATTTGCGTGCCTCTGACATTAGCGCGGCAGCAAAAGAACAGATATATTGCCTTTGTAGAGTCTTGTACTAGAACTCTGATACGACAAGCGACTGCGCTACCTGCCCAAACTCCTGCTGCGGAGAACAGGGTACTACACAGAATTCCCTACGCACAATTACACTTTCTTATAATTCACTAGACGCATTCCCTATTAGGAACAATTAGTTAAAAATACACCAGTAAGCGTTTTCTCATACCGTCTATTTGGCCTTTCAGTTATTCCGTGTGCCAGTGCAAAGCAGAGCAGCAGAGGAGATCTTGGTTTTGGAAAGATGAAACCAGAACAAAAGCTTAGGCATAAAAAAAAAAGGTATGCTTAATTTGAAGCATCCTTTAAAATGCCATAACCTGAGTCCCTGGTTGTTCGTGCTCAGAACAGCCGTTAAGGGCTAGACTTCGATGCACAGCACAAAGGCTTACTGATTGGAACAAGTGTGTCCAAGTAACAGAAAATTCAGAAGCAATGTAAAGGAGATACCTTGTGGTATGAACCACAGCTTACTAGGTCACTGAACTATCTGACATTACAAACCTGTTGTATAATAGTAATAACTAACAGTCGTGGCAGACATTTTTAATTTGAAAAGTTTCATAGAAACAAACTAAAACAGGGCAACAAAAACCTGCTTATAAATAAAACATTTTTAATAAGTTAAAAAAAATGAATAAAAGTCCAGAACATTCTTTCCTTCTTATCACACTCTTACATTTCCATTCAAACAGCTGAAATTCATTTTCCCCGTTTGTGCTTAGTGACACATAATTCTGCTGGATGGAAGCCTGTCGGATGGAATCCTGTCATATATCACGTAACGCAAGGGATAAAACATCAGGAACACGTTAAAGACATGGCAACATAATTCCTCTGTTAATAACTTACTTTTCAAAACATCATTAGAAGCCAGACATTTCCAGGTTTAAAAGTCACTGGTGTGCTAAGATATCTTAATGCTGACTTTCTCTTTCTTCCTAGCAAAGTTTAATAAGTAAGCACTGTTTTAGAAATTTTAAAAAGTATAGACATTCACTTTCATCAGCAACCCACTACAGATGCTGTTCTTCTAACATAGCTGCAGTCTTGTAGGTTTTAAGAAAAACGAAATAGTTTTCTCCACATCTACTGCTCTCGTTAAGATACTTGATTATCCATTACTACAGAAGATAAGATTCATAGAGGTGCACTTTATAAATGCGTTTTTATGAAGATGAGAAACAAATGGGCATGAATCCTGGCAAGGTATTGCCAAGCAATTTGTTGCCAGAAGATTTCCCAACTCTATAACCAGAAAAATCTGTAAGGCTCTCCTGCATGCTCCAAACTCATCTCTGATTGCAATAACCTGCTTTAATGCAATATAAATCGATTTTCACATCTATTTGAAAGATGTGATTAATATTTAATGACATTTTATTTTCCTTCTACTTTAGGCTATATATTTTTAATAAGAGCATACTGAGTTTTAGAGTGAAAACAAACAAGAAATTCAGGAATTTATAAATATGTTGGCTCACCAAACATAGAAGATTTAGGTAGCTTATTAAGTCTGATGACATTCTTTTTATATTCTCAAGAATTTGTGAGAACTAAAAAGCATTTGAAAGATGTTACCACTACTCTCTTTGTAAGGTTCCTTTAAACAAATTCTGCTGCTTGCTTTTCCCCTCAGTATATAAAATCCATGGTTTAGGAAGGCACACAGCACAGCCTTTCTCCACTGTCATTCACAATCTGGTAACCCATGAAGAGCAAATGTTGCAGTGTAGAAGCTCTGTACAATCTTCACTTTCCTCAGGACTTCAAAAGGTCTGGAACAGATCCAATGTCCCATCTAGGCCACCCAGCACATACAGTCTTTGGACAGCTTGTTCAGTACCTGCTTGCCCTGCAGAGACTTTAATATGCATACAGCGGGCCATGAAGAGGACAAATCACTACATTAACCTATAAGCAGATTTCTGCATTTAGCCTTATACCTAATTCATTCAGTCATCAATCACTTCACACTAAAAACTAAGACTTTTCCTCTGAAGAGGGAAAAAGTTGAACACCTCCAGCTCTCTTAAAAATACTTTTATCTCAAAACTTAAGAGATTAAAGTATATACTGCCAAATGTGTCAAAGAAGTGTTAAGGTACATCGAAAAAAATGAGGTAAGAGAAGGACAGGAGAAAAAAAGGAAGAAAAATCCAGAGGTCCAACCTATTATTCAGAAAGTAGATACTGAAGGTCTCAATAATTAGGATAATTCCTTATCACCCAATGCTTGATAATTTTTGGCTAATGTTACTCAGCCTTCACAGAAAGAAAGCAGATCTTCACTCATCACTGAACAGTTGATACGAATAATTACCACAATCTCCAGATAAACTATTCAAATGCAGGAAGAAAAGTGTCTCTTCTTTAACAGAATAATCACATCAGCAATACAGAAAATGTGCCATGTTTTAGATCACCTGTAATCTTGCTACAGTATTTGAAATCAATCCAATTATAAAGATCATACTTGGCTTAATGAGAATCAATTACACCAGGCAAAGAGGTTTGGCAGCACAGAAATAAAAGCAAGCGGTTTAAAGCTAGGGTGATATACTTAAGTCAAACTGTCTCACTAATGAATTTTCTAAACAATTTGTAGTTCCAAATTCAGCTAATCATCTACTTCTCAAATTGTTTCTGCAGAAACATTTCCTTTGTCTTCAAAAGAAATTTGGCAATTTTGTGGTCACATTAGAGATATTAATTTTTTGGAGAATCAAGTTTGCATATGAATCTCAACTGTGGTTTTAGAGATAACTTAGAGATTTAAAAAAACCATATATGTCTATTCCTATTATGAATAGAGAACACTGAAATAATTTAGTTTCTTGTCATCTGTATCTAACTAGTAAAAAAAACTAGGCATGTTTCAGTACATTTGAAGAATTCTACAGCTTCCATGTTACCAAGCGTGGATCAAAGACTTATGAATTTCTTCAAATTGAGCTTTTATTTACACATAAGTCTTAACTGTCAAATAAGTCAAGCAGGTGGTAATGCACGTCAGCTTGAACTGGATGTCTGAATCTTTAAATTGCGCAGAACTACCTTCCTCTCTGTACTAGTTTTCATCATTTCACTAGTTTATCATCAACTCAGTAATTTCCTGATTTGCAGAGGGTGAACAAAACACACCAACACTCTCACCACTAACTTTGCTTCTCCTTTAGAAGATACACACAAAAAAAGTGGAGGAAAGGTAGGTTATTTTCATGTTAGAACTTAGCCAGACCTTTTATACCAGGAGCATATTATCGTCGCTGTAAAAGACGACAAATTTAAAATTCCACTCTTTAGGAAGTGCTTACGTATCTAAAAAATTCACGTTAAAAATACTGTGGCTAATAAGTTAATAAACATTGTTCACAAAGTCAAGTACCTTGCTCCTGTTCTTCCTCTTCTTCACTGGATGAAGCCAAATAAGCTTGAAAATCCATGTCAAGAAGTTCCTCTTTGTTAAAAGTTCTGCTAAGCGATGTTACTCTTTCATGATCTGTTTCATCCCATGTGATATCTATCTTAAAAATAAAAAGAATGCCAGTTGTAGAAGCTGAAATACTAAAATTCATCACTCTGTCTTTTTAGAGAAAATTGTTTTACATGCTCCATATAAGAAGGAGCGTTAAGCTATTGCTGATCTTGACAACGTCAATTAGCTATAATATAATAGTTTACTAAAATCAATTTAATTCTAACTTCTTTGTTCTACAACAGAACAGTTTCAATGAATTTTAAGTACAGGAAAGAATGAAGAAGTCTCCTCTTGCATTAGAAGGGTTCTGTAACACCGGGTCAGAAAATACAAAATCTCTGCAAGCCAAATTTGATGTGTGGCGGCAGGTACTGGTAAGTTGAGGCAGCAGCCACCGACTACTCTCCCCTACTCCTCCAGCATGGATTGCAATGGGGGCAATGAAAGTATTTGCCCAACTTCACTATCAACTGGAAGATGAAACAGATCTGTCTGTTCTGATCCAGCAGAAATTACTAAGTATTTCTCAAATAATCACTTCTTCAGTTTGGTTCACTTCAGGGTCAGATGAATGTTTTGGCTGTCACATAAGGCAGAGTAGGAACAAATAGCTACAAGGAGCGGAAGCAACTGTTTTAAGCCTGGCACTATTACCAAAAGGATCTTGTTGAACTACATCCAAATTTAAGTAGTAGTAGTTTAGTAATAACAAGTAAGTTAAAACTCTTTAAAAATCTAAAGTTCAAGCTTATCTATAGTATCTCAACTTGTGACTCCATAATACGCTCACGCTTCATAATATGTTTGATGTCTTCATTGTGAAATAGTGAATATAGGCAGGAATCTTTTCTTTACTATCTATACAATTTATAAGCTAGCAATAAAACTAAACACATCACAAAAGCATACAAAAACACTGTAAAGATACCTTTGATGTTACCATACCAGCAGATGTAAAGTACTTTGGCTTATACGCAGCTACATTCACTTCTGAGGCTACATCTTTTGGCTTATCATCAAACGTAACGTTATCTGGAATAAATCTTAAAGGCAGATAAAATGCTGTTATTCAAATACACTGTGAAATTTGAAAGGATTAAACAGACTCAGTTTTTCCAACTCTTGTACATGACCACAAAAGAATTTGCTAAAATAAAAAGTTGGGAAGCCTGAAAAGAAAACAAAGGAAATCCGTACCACATACGTAAAAGTAACTGTCTGGCTTCTGCACAGCTATTCCACAGGTGTTTTCTGTATAACACCACCATGTTGGAGGAGAAAGCTATAATAGTTTTCAGTTTGGCAAGGCCAGAGTTTGTTAGTTTGTTTCTGTTGTTTTTAAGAATCACCTTTTCAGGAAGCTTAAAATTAAAAATTAAAAAAAAAAAGGTAGTAAATTAAAATCACACTTGAAGATACATAAACCAAAAATTCAAAACATTTTAAGAAAACCTGGTATATCTTTTAACATTACAACTACTAAAAAACTGTTAAAAAGGCAGTCTTGTATAATACCAGAAGAAATTAGATAAAAAGCTACATGCGCAATTACTTTTTTTTTTTTTTTTTAAATCACCATGTAAGATGGTAAGTGCTATTCAACATTAAAATTTAACACATTAGGTGAGAGATTAGGAAGCGCTTTGGGGAATTTCAAACAGAAGTCTGTGTTGTAAAATGCTAATCATTCTATGTCTAGAAGCATGAAAGCTATATTAACAACAACAGAAAAGTTGCACGTTCATTTGGCAGAGACAGTTTTCTCCAGAGTGATTCAAAGCAGATGAATTACGCTCCTCCAGAGAATGATTTAGAGCATATCTTATCTTTCACAGCTTTCTGAGACTGCCTATAATATGAGCTCCAGCAGACAAAGCCAGCTTCTATCAAAACTTAACATGATTTAGTAACCTGTCTACAGTCTCAGATTAGAAAGCTTTTTTTAAATAACAAAATAAAATACTAACAATAAAGCATAACTGTAACTTAAAATTCCCGTTTTCCTAAACACAGCTTTCAAAATATTAGAGCTTGTGATCTCATTCATAGGGGATAGCATAGTAATCTACTGCAGCTTCAAGACAACAGCAGCAATATTCTTGCCCTGTGGTAAACAAACTTGAGAAAGAGCCACTTCCTCTGAATCCTTAGCTGAAAAAAAGTAGCGAGAGAACAGCAATATGTTGATTTGCTTTCTAAATCTGCATCCTACAACTTCCCTTGACTGTAGCAACAGGTTAAAGATGCAACCTTAACATTTTACCTGACTTATCTGAGAATAATATCTCTTTGGAGAGATCCTCTCTCAAACTTTCCATCTGCCAGTAAAAACACTCAAACATAAAAAAGAAACCCAAAGGAAATCCTGACAACTCATTGCATATATAATTTATCTCAAAAATATACTTTTGGTTGCAGAATAAAGACAATAACGTTTATTTCAAATTATTTTAAAATGGCTTCAATTTCCCCTTTCCCAGATAAGTAAAAAAGTCACCATTAGACTTACCTCAGGTCTATAAAAGAACAGCTACTTTCAAATTCCAATCCATCACACTCCTCATAAATTTTATTGGCCGTTTCAGGAGAATCACATTCTATTACTGCATAGAAGTACTTCAGTCGCTTAAATTGATATTCTCTCAGTTTTTCCTTATAAAGCCTGCAAAAGTGAAAAACAACAACATCAGATCAGCTGGCTTAAACAACTTCTCATCTGTAAAATATTTTAAACTCATTAAAAATACGCATCATTCAAGCACTGTCACAATCTTGCAAAAAGGGTTAGATGTTAAACAGCGTGAAGTTCCGCCATCAACTCGGTTTTATTCAAGTAACAAGATTAATTAACCTATTTTCATTACAGAAACTGGTGCCTCACCCAAGATCTTTGCAATTCTCCACAAGATGAGCTAACACGCTAGGGCAAAATTATTAGAGTCTGGCTTGTCTATTACTAGCAGTGTTCAAAGCATTGGAAAATGTTAGGTAACAGCAACGGTACCTGACTCCACTTCCTACAGGAGTTGTTAAGTTAGAGGCTCTGCACAGGCCATACAGAGTAACCTCTTTGTATGCTCTTTGCAGGACAGAGAAAGTAGCATTTAATAGTTCTTATCCAAGCGAGTGCAGTTACTTAGCTGAGCTGGCACCAGAAACAAGGCTGGCTCAGAACAAGGTACTGGCTGATGAGAAGGATGTGCCATAGATAAGTAAGGGCACACATTAGGAACATAAGAGAATCTCAGAGACTGTAAGAGGACAAGATTGCAGATGATCACGTTGCAGAGAGACAGTGGAGGAGTAACGAATAAGCAAGTGACATAAGTGAGGCCTCCCTCAGGATAATAATTTGGAAGCGCAGGTGTTCTAGTATAGGATAATGGCAAGAGAAATAAAGCAGAAATGAGACTGAGAAGCGGATGAACTGGCGGGAAGATGAAGGAGAGAGCACAGGGCTGAAGTCCTGGTCTGTGAATTTAAAGGGCACATGCACAGGTATTGCTGAGATATCTCAGTACTGGCATTTCCGTTCATCGTGTTCCAGAACGTACAGGACCTACTGAGAAGTAGGTCAGATGCACTAGAATGGACCTTCATACACGCAGTGAAGCTGACTTGAGCGTACGCTATTTTAAGTTCAGGATACAACTCCCTCACGCATTGGACCTTCTGCAAAGCGATCTGCATTTATTTTAGAAGCATCCAGAATTTTCAAATATATGGCAGTCCAGTCGGATGCATACTACAAAAGTGGCTCCAGTCAGCCTGCCAAACATCTGGAAATTGTGGGAAAATATAAAAGCAAAACATCAACTTCCATACGGACAAAACTTTTAAGCAAAACAACAGGAAAAAAAAGACATGCCTGAAGAAGCCTGGACAATGGTAGGCCTGACGAGTTCAGCCTAGTAAGCCAGGGCTGCTGGTGGTGTGGTATTCCAGATATAACTTAGCCTGGGAATTCTCAGACTAAGTTAAGTTCCCTGCTGGTTATGCTGATAACAATTTTGATAGGACGCAACAATGGGAGTTTCTTGCATGAATAGCAATTTGCAGAGAAGAACGCTACGTTAAGCTCTCCGCAATTCTGTTTGATTTATTATCCCAATGAGCTACATAATAGAAACTGTAAAGTCACTTATCAACAAGCAAGCTCCTTAAGTTTCATCATAATGCATTTATTCAATGCAATGACAACGAAACAGGGTCAATTCTAAAATATCCCTTGAAAAGCTATAAAATTAAAGCTGTCTACAGGAGACTTCCACAAATGAAGTTTTGAAAACCGGAGTTGATTGAGATTTTCACCAAGAATTAGATTTATTATATCTCTCATTTGAAGAGTAAGTTAATACCCGTCTTTCTCTGTGGTATTCTCTGGAAGATCAAATAGTTCTGCAGGTCCTTGGAGTTCTTCCTCTTTCAATCTTTCTTTTCCAAACTCTGAAGGATAAATCTGCAAATACAACAACACAAAAACAAGTTTCAACTGTAGAGGCATAATATACACCAGCTAAGAAAAAGTATCCCATCAAGCCTTTTAGATTGTACTGATTTTAGAGAAAAAAAAAAAAAAGAGATCAATTCCACAAACTGATGCCTGCTTAATTTTAATTCACAGAAAAGACAGTGAAATAAACAAACGGTCCATTAGGAATTAGAAAATTCTGAGGGGGGTGAAGATCAACAGGAGCCCTGACTTCACTCATTTATACATGGGAACCAACAGGAGCTCTGATTTCATTCATTTACACGTGGGAACACCCTTTTCAGAGTTAGCTACTCAGCTAAAATTTCTCCAAGAGTTTCAGCTGCAGGCAGGCATTAATAGAATCAAAAATATCATTTAACTGATCGGCATTTAGCCAATTTATAAAAAAACCCTCAAAATTGGTGCAAAAAACAAGCAGTGTTGTGCAATGATAAAAAGGGTTGAAAAACATTTGGAAATAGCCATAGTGACTACTGAAAATTAAGCTGACCGAGGAAGCGTAGCCTTCTCCAGCTAGCATTCAGAAACTTCACTACTAACTTCAGTGAAGCAGCACTTAGAGCCAACCTCAAACACAAGAAGGCAACGGCTTTAGGATCTCATTCCAAATATATGCTCAATGCTGAAAAGCACCACATCGTTATTTCTAATAGAGCAAGTCACATTCTAACACAGAGAGTTCTGTGGAAGAACAAAAAGCGAAATTAACAGGATAAATGAGAAACTCATTTTGCTTTTGTTCTGTAGTCTTTGTTTTTCCTTTACAGTAAAAGGCACTATTTCTTTCAGAAAACAGGTCTTACCTTAACAGAAAATATAACACCTCCTTTGGGCGTGAAAGAGTTAAATAGAGCCAGCAAGTCCTTAGCCTTCAGCCTATCCCAATCCATATTACAAACTGCCAATCTACTTGTAATCTGTACAGGAAAAAAAGGATGTAATGTTTACAGATTTAACTCCTGACTGCTAAGGAGGATACACAGTTCTTTAACAACCATCTCTGGCAAAAGTCAAAGTCAACAATGAACTTCACCGAAAACATAAAAGCAACGTTTCCTTAACGTCTTACATCGTTCAAACTAGAAAAGCTCAGAAGCAGCAATCAAAAGAGCAAATACAAGGACGCAAAACATAAGACACCACAGAACGGACTGCACCAATGCCAGAATTAGCACTGCAGTTATAATATCAGCACGTTAAGATATTGTTTTCATCATACAGTAAGTCACAATAGCAGCTAGTATCACAGTCTCATAACACTGCTGTACAGTATTGTGATTTTCTGCACATTAATTGTGCATAGTTTTAAAATCCTGTTTGATTGTCTAATGATTTCTTAATTACGCAGTTGGAAATATCTAAAGGAATAAGAACTCCACCCGTGACAAATCAGAAGTAAATCCAAGTCTGCGCATACCAAGTCTAGTTTTCAGACTAGTGTCTGAAATAATACTAGGAGTATTTATTCCCCCTTAAAGCTTTGCAGCTCCATGTTTTCCTGCATTGAAAACTAGAACTGCTGGTTGGTTTTGCTTTATTTTAAACAACTGTTTTTATGTTAACTTTTGCTTGGCCCAAGTGTTATTTTTATTTGTGAATATATTGCGTAAGACTTTATGTTCCACACTATTTTACAGATCAGCCCAGAGATGCTGTAATATTTGTGTAAACTTTTTTAATTCCTGTAAGTTTATTTCCATTGTGAATGGAAATAATTTTTAAAAATCGCTTTTAAAAAAGCATCCTGCGTGCTTTCATATTAAACACTTAGCTCTCAAAATCCTTCAAGTTTTGATAGCCAAATATTTCAGGTTTTTTGATTTGCTGAGACTCAACATATCAAAAGTTAGCACTGATTACCATTACAGAGAAGTTGCAAATACAGTTTATTTATCAATGGTGCATTTGTGTTATCATAGTAAAGACTTCCTTGAAGTCTTAAATTTGTCTTTCAGCCAACATAAGACTTTCTAGCAGAAACTCTTAAAGTGGAGTTACACCCAGAAATTAGCTCAGTATTAGGATATTAAGCAAATAAAACACACATTTAAGTAATAAGCATTACCTGGAAACATATAAATAAAACCTAGCTGAAAATATCAAAAGAACACGTAAGAACTCAAAGTTTTATATTATGATTTTTATCTTCTCTTACAAGAAGGCAGACAATCAGCAGAAGGCAAGACACTAAAACCATTTATAAAATGGTGGAAAAACAAAAGGGCATCTCAGAGAATAACACTGCTGCAAAGGTGGTGGCAATCGTTAGAAAGGGGTTCAGATGCACAGAGAAAAATAGAAGAGAGGAGATGGAGTACAGTTCGTGTCAAGCAGTTCTTGGGACAAAGGATACAATGGATGAGAACGGTCACGCAACATGACACATACAAGAAAAATATGAATATATGTAACATCAGAGTAGCATGTTTAATTTTTTTTTAAATGCACTACAGATTTTGATATGGCTTTTTTCACACTGAAAGAAAATTAAGATTCACAATGAGGTCTTACAAGTATTCTAAAAACTGTAGTAATCTTGCAAAGTCTCTCTCAAGTCTAAACTAAACTAACACTGAAAGTACTGCAATTATGGTTATTTTGGAAGAAAACACAGGTGAAAAGAGTGAAGGTGAAAAAAGTTAAAAATTCAGTAGTGAGTAACAGCATTAAGAACAGTACCATTGAAATGTTGGAATTTCTGGAAAGCTCTATTCTGTTTGCTTCTTCATGTATCGATAGCTTATCTATGCTGGGGTAGAGAGATACCACAGAAAACCTAGAGTCTGTCATTTTCAGCCTGTTTCGTCATCACTTGCAGAGCTTTTTGTAATTAAAAAAAGGTTGAAAAACCCGTATTAAAAGTACTTTTGCAGATGGTTTCATAGATGAAGATTTACAATGAACTCCTAACAGTGCACATCTGTATCATCACATTCATTTGTCAAATCAGTTAGCCACGTTAGCAACTTTTCACATACAGAAAGAGTGAATTTTCAAGTGTTACCTCATCTCCACGAGGGGCATCTTTATCTAGCTCACCCCATGAATGTTCAATCTCTGGCTCCTTTGGAAATAGGTCACTGAAATCCTCATCATCATCAGAGCTCGTTTCAATATTCCCTCTGCCCCTAGCTAGATCAGGCCCAATATCACTTTCTTCATCATCTTCTGAATCACTGTCCTCCTCGTCTGTTTCCCCATCATCTTCTGATTCCTCCTCCTCATCTGCTTCCCTATCATCTTCCAGCTCCTCTTCTTCAGATTCTGCATACTCAAAATAGTTCTCACTTTCAGAAATTTCTTCGTCTAGTTGACTTTTATTGATGTCGCTTTGATCGCAAGTGGCTGTGCACAGAGTCACTAAAAAATAAACATTCAATATTTACTTTTATAATTGTAATTACATACGACTCTTTAGAAGGAGAAAAAAAATCTCAGCTTTTTTCCTACTGGTTTACTAGTCACATATTAATGTGTAGCGCGATACAGCAACATCTTATATCAGGCAAATACAAACGACGTAAATCATCAGTATTGCCTCTTCAGCTTGCCTAGCCTATTATTCTTTAGCCCCACAATTGTTTTGCCAATCTCAAACTCTGAGAAAACATTATTCTATTACTCTACTTCAACATATAGAATCTACATGTAAAAATTAATTTCAGTAATGTAAACACAAATAAATATCTAAACACAAATAAATATGCAAACACAAATAAAAAAGAAACTTTTTCTCCAAGTCACCTGCTCTCTCTAGACCACCGAGTTTGGTTATGATTTTATACACTTTATCTCACAGCACAGACTATCCATAGGTGCCATAGGAAAACAGGGTAATTGTTATGATGATTCCAAATACTTTAAAAATGAAAGCTTTAATTGCTGATTTCTTTAATCAATATTTTAGTAAGATTAAGACTTTTCAGTATAAAGAAACAATTCCCCGTCACCACTCTTTTAAAACTACATCTCTCTCAAACTAAGGGCTTGATGCTGCCATCCTTACGCTTTCAATCAAGAAGCATTGATATGATGAAGCGTTCACGGTATCAAGCCTTAACGTTCTCATTCAGTTTAATAAATACACAAATACATAGCTACTATATACTTTACTTCCCAAAGTTACCCCAACACCAATTCCATCTCCAACAATAGAAAGGACCTTGGATGTCTTCAGTAACGGTGAACCAGAATCAGTCAGCTATTTACACAATTGACCTTGCAAAACAACAGCAACACCATCCAAGGAAACATGGCCAAATTCTACCCCTGTTATTTTAACAACTAACCTCTTTCTTTTACTTTCCCTCCTAGGGAACGTTCCAACCTAGAAGCCTTCACTGATTTGGTACCACTTGGTTGTGAAGTCTTTTCTTCATTTTGAACTGAACGTAGTCTTCCTCTTGATGCATCTCCTTGTTTACTTTCCTCTTTGCCTCTGAGGCCTCTGTTTCCCTTTGAGTGATCAGTTCCCATCGTGGTTTTCTTACAGTCGTCTTTCAACTTGACTTTAGATGCAATTTTCTGTCTTTCACTCTGATGGTCATCTAATTTGGGCATAGCTTTACATCTTTGGTCCACCCCTTCTTTGTTTATTTTTTTCTCCTCTCTAGGGAGACCACCAGCAAATGGTTTTGCAGAATCTACTTTTCCTTTAGGCTTAGCTTTTTTTTTCTTTGTTTTCTTTTCAGTATGTACTTTACTATCATTTTCCGAAAGCTCAGAGTCAGAATCTGACAGGGCATAAAAGTTTCTGAGGTTCTCTACGGAGCTAAAGTTCACAGGACGACCTCTTTTATCCACAGTATATTTCAGTTTGAACTTCTTGTCATGAAACATAGCTCGAAATCGTTTATCAATCTTCACTTTATAATCTTCTTCTGGTATTTCCCAGAATCTGGGATCCCTAGTAACACGGCTAAATCGCCCATCACGTAGTATTTCCTCTTGGGATGCCATTTTTGATGCTGCTGAAGACTTGAACAACTACAATATGGAAAAAAAAAAACCTCATTTAAGAAGTGATTAACATAACTTTAGAAATCTAACGGTTCAGATTTTTTTTACCTTTTTCAATTATGCATCTAACCTATACTTTTAGAAATTTTTTCTTAAAGCATAGTCAGCAATTTGAAATGCATGAGTCACAAATATCCATATAACCACTACAATCTTTGTGAAACCTTTTCGCTTTCTCAGATCACAGACACGCAGCCAAGACGACTGTACCAACTGCAGATATGGCCTAGTCGACCTGCTCTCAACCTCGAATGGGACTTCCAACGACTTCACTGCAAGCCAGGCCCCAGACCTGTACCTGCCTCACGAACAAGTATTTCACGTTTCAAAGCATTAATTACGAACAAACACAACCAGAGGCGCTGGGAAGCCCGACAAGCTAGGAAAACCCCGCACTCGGGGGCGCAGGCGCAGCCTCCCCAGCGAGGGCCCTCGCCGACGCCAAGAGCAGCTCCGAGGCGCAGACCGAGAGAGGCCCGGCTTGGCCGAACAGCAGGGCAGCGCGGCGCTGGGCCGGGCCCGAGATGGGCATGCATAATTTACACTACATTA